AAATGGGCTTAGATGGGAACGAATTTACGTCCCATCAGGCCTAACAAAACCAAGGGTAAGGGAAAGTTTGTAGAGTCAGACAAGCTCAATCCCAGAGGTCAGCCCAAGAAGAAGAAGGGCAAGGGCAAAGGGAAAGGAAAGGAGAAATCCAAGGACAAGGCTAAAGCTGTATGCTTCCATTGTCAGAAGGAAGGACATTGGAAGAGGGACTGCCCATTATTCCTTGCGAGCCTCAAGGGAAAGAAGCATGAGATGCTTCAGCCTCTGGTATGTTCACTATATAAATTAATTTTTCAAGTGTTGATTCAGCTTCATGGGTATTGGATACTGGCTGTCGATCGCACATCTGCAATTTGTTGCCAAGTACTAAAGAGTCCTACGAAGCTGGAGAAGAATGAGGTCAATCTCCGCGTTGGGAATGGAGCAAGAGTTACTGCACAAGCCGTTGGGGATTAGGATCTTATGCTGCCTACGGGCCTTTCTTTACATTTGAATAATTGTTTCTACGTTCCGTCTATCTTTACAATCTGGTTTTCACTTTGTAATAAAAGATGGCAAGTTTTCCATCATTATGAATGATCTTGTTTATGGTTGCGCATCTAGAGTGAATGGATTGTATGTTTTGGATTTAAATACAGATAGTGACATTCTTAGTATTCAAACTAAGAAGCCAAATTAGGTAATCAATCATAACTTTGGCATTGTAGATTGGGACACATTAATGAGACAAGACTGTCTAGACTCCATCATGATGGTTATCTGGATTCCATGGATTTTGAATCCTATGGGCCTTGTGAGTCTTGTTTGGATGGTAAAATGACAAAGACAATGAGTTACTAGAACTCATTCATTATGATGTTTGTGAGCCCTTATTGTAACAGCCCGTTGTACACCGATATTGTTAACATTAATTATGATATTAAGCGCAGTTACAATCACAGCAATTTATTTATAAAAATGAGATTAAACTTTTTCCGTTTATTACGCGAGCATGTTAAACAATAAAAAGCGTAATAATTAAAAGGTGTGACCGTAACTGTAAACTCTTCGCGGAATAATTATTTGGAATACTTTTATAACTTATTTTACTTACTACAAGTCACTAAGGGGTTCCCATAAACCCACTTAGCCAATTTCTCACTTTTACGTTTTCTACTTATCCGAACGTGGTTCGGTCTCCCAATTTCTGCGGAGAATCTGCATGTCACGAACCTCTCATCTTTTGATATGTTATTCTACACTTAATTACCTTTCTAGGAAGCTATCACATGAGTTATTTCGATCTCGCTTTCTTCGGATATCGCCGTTTGAAGTTTGACAAGTAAAGCTGCCAGCCAACCCCAAAACAGCTCCAAACATCCCTCACTCCACGAATTACTGCAGAAAATCCACTCAACCAATTGCTCTCAAATTTTTATACCATAAACTAGACACCTAAATATTCAATTGGATATATCATACACCTAATTTGACTAAGAAACGAAGTGGAAATAAATTTACCAAAACCGGTCCAGAACTGCCACATGTGCAGTGAGCAAATGGGCAGTCTGTACTCTCTGCCTCCTACAGGACGACGCTCAACCCAAAATTTTACCAATTTTTACCCCAAGATAGAAGACATCTCAACCTTCAAAATGGCGTATGGGACGTCCCTATCGGACCTCTGTAGAGGGAGATATGATCTCTTGAAGTTCACTTAAATTTTGCCAATTTACAGAAAATTCGACAGAGTTTCCTTTCTTTTTACAAAAATCCCCAAATTTGCCAATGTGTTCTAAGACCTCAAATGTACCTAATAATCATAGGGTGGCACACACAAGGATCAACAATGCCTTGGGGCTCTTACAACCCATCACAATTTATTTTACTTATACAATACGTATCACATTGCTTCCTTTATTAATCCTTAATACGTTTTCAATCATCAAAGTCCAATTGCATGCAATTGCTAATCATACACAATATCATAATCCTAAAATAGGCCTGTTGTCCTTTCATCATATTACATATGCTTCACATTACACAAGATCCAAATACAATATTTACAATTATCCAAATTACAACACAATTCATAAGTCTCCAAATGTCATAACTACATGTATCTAGACTTAGGCAAAATAACATGAACAAATATAACATAAATCTCATCCTAACAACATATACAATGTTCATGCCCTAAGTCTAGCCTAGGCCCAATGGCCATCAAAATGCAAAATGTATAAAGTCCTCCAACGACTCATCCTACGGGCTTCTTGCCCGCCGCTCCTGCACCACTGCTACCTCCTGAAATAAAGCCCCCAAGACGGGGTGAGATATACGAATATATCTCAGTAACCCAGAGGTTCCGGAGAAAACTCCGCCCAATGGCTCACTTCGATGCATATAAATAATATAAAATAACATCTTGAAAAATGGGATATAGCAAGGGATTTAGAGAAACTGGGGAACATAGGGATACAAAATACGACAAAGCTGGAATGGTCGCTACCAATACCACGCAACGTCCTGCCTAATGGCTCGGCATATAATCCTACGGGTCTAAACCAAAGCGTGGTCCTAGAACATCCAACCAAGGTACCCCTCCCATCCATATACACCCGAGACTTCCTAGTGTGCTCCTAACAGGATCACACACCACGACCCTAGGTCAACTGGAACTCCCTCTCGGAGACCTATCCAGTGGAAGTCCGAAACGCCTGAAGGCAAACTGACTATTGGCCAGAGACTCGGTACATCCAGTGTACCACTAACATACATAATAAATGCACGATCATGTTATTCTACATTACTTACATACATTTCCTACCATCACCCTCAACGGTATGGTGGAACACACAAGGGGATCAAGCCCCAGTACCAAGAGGTTACCTTAATAAGCCTCTCCACTTAGCTCCAAAGCAGTATATTCTTAGAGCTCGTTACTCAACAGAAATGCCTACACTGAGGACATTCCCAATTACTTAAAACTCATACAAACACATGCAAGTTACCAATTATACAAGCATGGTTCCAATTACTCACCTCAATCCCACTTGGTCCGGGACCAAGGACAATCCACCGAACTCTCGGTTTGGGGTTCAATTCAACGTACGACAACCTGCAACAACCATGTACGAATCATCAATACACGGCAAATCTATCAAAGTACGAAAACGTCAAAAAACCTCACCTACACAAGGTAGGTTCGGCCTACATAGTCTTATTTTACATTTTATTTTTCTAAATTTTCTTTCTCATTTTCTTAGGCATCCTTAGGTCACCAAAATGTCATATCAAGTGCCACTTTTTATTTTCGTCATTAAAACGTCGTTTTGCCTAATATTTTGCTCTAGGTCCAATTAACCACTCAACACTACCAATTATTTTTCCATTGGTTTTCCAACCTTCCAACCACCACATAACCCATCTAATTACCATTTAACACATAATACATCACTCAAACAATTTCCAACAACATCAATTCTCTAATTTTCCTTTAAAGGGCCGAATTCACAATGGTGTACATCCAAGGAATTTCCATCAATTTTAACTACTCCACACCTCATGAAATCCTATTATATCATTGTACAACCATGCCACAATCCCATTATTCAATCCTAACAATAATTTCAAACCCAAAGTCATGACATCCTAAAAATTTTCTAAAAGTTAAAAAATCACATTTTTCCTCAATAATTTTTATTGCATTTATGGCTACTACATATCATTCTAAGACACGTTCATGTACAAACATTTTCCATTTGAGCTCTTTAACATCACAAATCAACAACACCCCCTTTAGGGTTCATGAATAAAATCCGAAAATTAAACCATGGAAATTATAAAGAAACTTACTCAAAAGCTAGGCACAAGGCTCCTCCAAGACACCCTAAACCATTGGAGCTCCAAACAACTCCATGAACACCAAAATTCTCAAGAAATTCGTGGCTGGTTTTTGCTTGTTTCTCACAAATGAGAGTGTTTCAAGGCCAATGGATACCACCAATGTGTTTGGAAGGTGATTTCCAACAAATTTCAAGACAAGAATCGTCCGATTCGATTAAGAATCGATGAAGTTAAGGGAGGAAGAAGATTTGAATGAAAATGGTCATGGAGGGGGGAAGGGAGCACGAATTTTAGAGAGAGAAAAGAGGTTTTAGATGATGATGAATAGTGTTGGTCCATGTGGCTAAGTCCACTTAAGTGAGGTGGGCCCCACCGCCACCTCACGCGATCTCAAACTAATTCGAATTTCCTCTGATTCCACTAAACATCCATGATTTCATAACCTATTTAGAAACTCTAATTTTTAACATTAACTGTAACATCCCACGTAATTAGGAAAAATATATAATTTGTTATGAGAATTATGGATATTATGTTAAAATCGAGTTCTGTGCAACATTTGTTTTGATTTCGAATTATATAGTTATTAGGGTGGGATTAAATTAATTTGGTGAATTATTAGAATAACAATCATAGTGAGTAATTATTTTAAGCATTGAAACTCTAGTGACCACTTAGTAAACTACATGAAGGAATGTTGTTGGGAGTTGAAATAGGACCAAATTATCCACAATAGGCTACGGCCCATCCACCTTAGTGGAAGGCCCAAATCAGCCAAAAACCCCTACACTTGATCCTTGTAGAATCTTTATCCTTTGACTAACACTAGAAATCTGAATGCATAATTTTTATTGGACAAGAGGCAAGCAAATTTTCTATCATTCTTTCCCTACTATGCGCCTAGTGTGGAGAGAAAATTCTGATCACATGTATTAGACTTTTAAAGTCCAAATCAGCCTATGCTTGCCATCTAGTGTTTTCACTCCTTGCATGTATGACACTTGTTCCCCATCACTCCTTGCATGACAGCCACATGCCCTTCTTCTACCATTGCATGCCCGCCACCTACTCTGCATCATTTTCCTTGGATGAGAGTTTCTTTCAGCCACACAATCCTACGCCCCTTAAACTCGTGAAAGGAAGAGATTAATGCCTAGAAAATTCTGATTGTAAGCCCCAAAGTCTTGAACCAATTCGGCCCATGCATGTTCATTAGGTGTTAAAATAAACCCTCCATGCAATTGCATGTACGCCACATGTCTTCCCCCTCTCTTGCATGTCCACCATCTTTCCAAGCATAGGGCACTTGGACTATCTTTTCTCCATGCTTCGGTCAAACCCTTCCCTTAACCAAGGATTTATTTTCATCTCTTGAAACTGACCAACTTTCTTTTATACTTCCATCACACAAAAACGTGTTGCTGTCCTCACCCCCCTCAAGGCCGTAGGTAACCAACAAGAAAACAAATCAGAATTCTATTTCCCCTCTTTTCTTCCACTGAACCGTGAACACTACAAAGAAACAACAAAAGTTCTGAACATTCTTCCCACTTTTCCCCCTCTAAGCCGTGAGTTGTTCAAAGAGACATTCATCACCTAACTTCCAAATCCTATTTCCTCATACGCGGGCAAAGGTCAACACCAAGGAGGCTGTGTTTTAAGGGCTGCATCCTATCTTCCTTCTTGCTAGAGTTCAGCCGAACCTCAACACTTAAGAAGGTAACACACCTTCTCTTCTTTTGTTCATTTCCTCCTTCGGCTTAATGGAAACCCTTACTGCATGCAGCTGTAAGACGGAGCTAGTGGAGAAGGGTTAAACCCCTTTACAAGCCGCCCAAAGCGTGACCCTTGGAGTAAGAAAAGGTGAGGCAGTTTTTGGAATTCCCGCGTACCTTTCTTCATGAACCGGTTCTGCCTAAAGCCCTCTCCCTTGCATGCAGAAAAACCGAAACTTGGAGCCTAGGAAAGTATAAAATTGCTCATTGCCAAACCGTGATTGGGAGTACAAACCAAAAAAAAAAAAGGTATTCACAAAAATAACCTCCCATTTTACTCCCCCCTGTTTCGATTTCAAGTGGACTTTAGGAAGATAGATTTTGTTAATATGTCTCTTTGCTTCTGCTCCTTTTGGCCGTATTAAAACAGTGCTCCCTTGACCTTGTTGGACTGGTTTGTTGAATTAAAAGGAAATATCTAGCTTTAACCATGTAACGAATAAGTAGACAGCAAGCGTAAGGAGTAATTAGCATGTTTATTAGTCATGAGGACAATGTATGTAACTGAGAATTTTAAACTCCTAATCAATGGTCCAAACCGTGCATGCATGCTTAGGAAAAACGTAAAATTCTATTGCCATTTACAAGTAAATAAAATTATTGGAAGTCAGAAAATTGATCCTTATTTTAGCTTTGTTATTTCTGCCATCTTGTGTACCTTGGACCTTAGCTTAGTAGTATAACAAGTAAATTTGGTTATGATCCTAAAATAAACGGTGGAGCTGTTTGAGGGTATTTAAAGTATCTTGAACTTTCTTGAATCAAAATGATAACGATAGCATGCTTAGACACCCCTTGTGTAGCGCACCATGAGTAAATTAGCTAAGCTTTGGAGTAGACAATCCTTGATGTTTTGCTTAGATTAAATCGATTCTGTCTTGGTAAGTATGGTCATGCATTAAGTTCCATTTAAATTGAGTAGACAGCATGATAAATAGACTCTTTTTAGCGCACCCTATGAGTAGAGAAATAGGAACTTTATGAATTAAATCTTGAGTAATCGTTGTAGCAAAACCGATTCTGTTTGGGCTTAGTTAGTCATTGTTAGACGTTAGAAAATTAATTCGAAGTCAGAATCTTTTTGGGAAAGAACCTTGATGGCCGAATGGAGTACATGAACCATTAAATGTGGAAAACTTGTTGGTAATTTTTAGGAATCGCTTGGGATGTATTTTGATTTGTGGCACTTGTATTTTAGGTGCGCAAAACTCTTGAGAATTGGATTATTTCGCTGCTGCCTGGTAAATTTATTGTGACGTGTGAGGTATGTGTTAGGCGGTATTACCTAATGTGACTATTAGCTAGTGTATGAAATTGTGATGTGTTGCTCACATATGTTCAATGTTATTTTATGATGATGATATGGCAATGGTAAGAATATGAAATGATGATAATGATATGTGCATGCATTTTTACATCATGATGCATTTTTCTGTTTCGTGTGTGACCGCATTTCATGGCATGTATACAATAGATTCATGTAGGCTTTGAAATGTAGAATAGTTATATACAGGATCATGTGTATGAGCACGCATCATATAGGCATCCCTTGATATCAGGGTACTGGGACAGTTGGCGTCAGTCCGCATAGGCCACAGTTGAATTCCCCAAATGATGGTGTCATGCATGGAATTTCCACTGCGTATGCACGCGCATGACGGTGCTATAAGCGTGAAGAAGGCGTTATATACGCAATATGATATATGATGAAAAGGAACTATGATGAAAAGGATTTAATGTTTGTAGCGACTGTTTATAATTTTGTGCCAAGTTTAACACTGTTGCATTATTGGTTTTATTGCCACACTACTGGGATTATTCTCACCCCTTTGAGGCTGCTATTTTTACAAAATGGCAAGAGGACGGAAGAGCATATGAAGACGTAGCTATTTGTTGTTATTTGCTGCTTGGACTTTTGCTGTTGCTGTTTATTTATTGGATGACTGTACTATTTTGGATATTTTGGTATGCCTGGATGATTGTTGGAACTATGATTTTACTGCATGTTGAAGACTTTTTGAGCAGCACGTATTTTAGAGAAAATTTTAAAACATTTTGCGAAAATAATTTATTACGTTTAATTAAGTGCTGAATTTTTGACAACCATGCGAGCACTTTCAAAGTTATATTTAGTATAGTAAACGACCTCCGATTCTCTATTATTTTATATGCACGCGAAGCCCCAGACGTGCTCTTTCTATATTATATGGAATATTTTTTTGAATCGTCGAACAGATTTTATACGAATTTTTAAAGACAACAACGTCTGCAAGGAAATTATTATTTTCAGCAAGTTAAGAAATTTTGAAAGTACACTCTGATTTTTTTTTGTAAGGAGCCCGATTTCAATTACAAGTTTTAATTAGCAACATATAATTGATTTTTCAGTACTTAAAATATGACAAAAGAACTCTAATTCCGCTTAGCAAACAACTCTCTTGGAGGCCTACAAGGGAGGGTGTTACATTAACCATTGTCCTTTAATTGCCCTTGATCAGATGAATCTGGAGTTTTCCGGTCGTTCGGAGAAAATGCTGTTTTAAACTGTTGCGCGCGCCGTAGGCACGCTTCCCCAAACTTACTAATTTCCGTCAAATTTCATCAGAAATCATATTCCCTAGTTCTATAAACCATTTATAACTTGTATTTAAAACCATTATCTGAAAACATTATTCACTAAATTTTCTGAAACTTGCCTAGCCACTTAATTTTTTATTCTGAATCCATTTCTAGGGTTATTTTTATCATCTGAGACCTTCTACTCAATTTATATCTTCCTAGGGTTGCGTGTTGGCTAATTACCGTTTTTCCCTTTCTTTGTATTTTGGCCTAATTTTCAGGATTTTCACTAATCCTCCCTTTTAATCCTCATTTAATATTTTTAATATATAATTTAGAATTGCGAGGTGTTATACTTATCTACTCAGGCTAGAGGAGGATACTCCTACTTCATTACCTTTACTGATGATAAGTTCATATACGGATATATGTATCTTATGAGACACAAATTCGAGGCCTTTGAAAAGATCAAAGAGTTTAGGAATGAAGTAGAGAAATAACTTGGCAAGATGATTAAGACACTTCGATCTGATCGGGGTGGCGAATATCTGAGTCAGGAGTTTCAAGATTATCTAAGAGAGAATGGGATTCTCTCATAGTTGACAGCTCCTTACACACCACATCAGAATGGTGTGTCAGAGAGGAGGAACCGAACCTTGTTAGATATGGTACGGTCTATGATGAGTGGTACGAAGCTCCCAAAATCATTTTGGGGATTCGCTCTGCATACGACGCTACACCTTCTTAATAGGGTTCCATCGTAATCTGTTCTCACTACTCCGTATCAGATATGGAGGGGCCAGAAACCCAACTTGAGTTATCTCAAGGTATAGGGTTGTCCAGCTTATGTCAAGACCGTAGCACCTGAAAAGTTAGGAGCTAGGAGCACCTTGTGCTACTTTGTAGGATATCCCAAAGAAACTAAAAGGGATACTACTTTTACTACCCTAAGGACCAAAGAGTCATTATGTCTAAGAATGCTATTTTTCTTGAGGAAGACCTTTTTTCTCAAGAAGATAGTGAGAGTAAGGTAGAACTTGAAGAAATTCAAGACCTACAAGAACAGATAGGGGAACCCGAGTCTGTTGATCAGGCGATGCCTCAACTAGAGGCAGTAGACACCCAGCCCCGTAGGAGCACTAAGGTTAGTCATCCACCTGAGAGGTACCGTTTTGTGATTGAGAATCAGCAGACTGTTGAGGATGACGAGCTTGCTTCCTACACTGAGGCAGTCAAGGATGTTGACTCCTCAAAATGGCAAGAAGCCATGGAATCCGAAATAGATTCAATGCATCAGAACAAGGTATGGACTTTGGTTCCACCACCTGAGGGAATAGTTCCTATTGGGTGCAAGTGGGTTTTCAAGAGGAAGACTGATGCTGATGGCAACATCCGAACCTATAAAGCTAGGTTGGTTACGAAGGGCTACCCTTAAAGATAAGGAATAGGCCTCGAGGAAACCTTCTCACCTGTTGCCATGATCAAATCTATTAGGATCATGCTAGCGATAGCCACATATTATGATTATGAAGTTTGGCAAATGGATGTCAAAACTGCCTTCTTGAATGGGTTCTTGAAGGAGGAAGTGTATATGGAAGAACCAGAAGGTTTTGAATCCAAGAGCCAAGAGCATATGGCATGCAAACTTCAAAAGTCAATATATGGGCTTTAGCAAGCTTCCAGGAGCTGGAATCTTCTTTTTGATGAAGTCGTTAAGAATAACAGTTTTATCAAGAATGAGGATGAACCATGTGTCTACAAGAAGGTTAATGGGAGTGCTGTTGTTTTCCTTGTGCTATATGTAGATGACATATTACTCATTAGAAATGACATTCCCATGTTACAGTCTATAAAGGTTTGGTTGTCTGAGAACTTCACCATGAAGGATATGGGAGAGGCAGCCTATATACTAGGTATTAAGATCTATAGTGATAGATCCAAGAGGTTACTGGGATTATCCCAATCCACGTACATAGACATTATGCTAAAGAAGTTTAGCATGGATGGGTCGAAAAGGGGTTTTCTTCCTATCGGTCATGACATTCATCTCTCTAAGGCTATCTGTCCTAAGACACCTGCCGAAAGGGAACGCATGGAGAGGATTCCATATGCATCAGCAATTGGATCCATCATGTACGCCATGCTATGTACTAGACTAGATGTCTCTTATGCTTTAAGCATTACGAGCCGATACCAGTCTGACCCTGGAGAGAGTCACTGGATGGACATGAAGACAATCCTTAAGTACTTGAGAAGGACTAAGGATTTGTTTCTGGTTTACGGTGGCAGTAATGAGCTGAAAGTGAAGGGGTTCACTGATGCTAGCTTCTAGAGTGATAAAGACGACTGTAAATCTCAGTTAGGTTTTATCTACACCTTAAATGGTGGAGCAGTTTCTTGGAGGAGTTCCACGCAAAAGACCACGACAGACTACTGAGGCATAATACATAGCGGCTTCAAAAGCGGCTAAGGAGGCAATCTGGATCAAGAAGTTCGTTGCAGAACTTGGAGTGGTTCCGAGCATTGTTGATCCAATACCTTTGTATTGTGACAACACTGGTGCTATAGCCCAGGGCAAGGAACCCCAGTCTTATCAAAGGTCCAAGCATGTGATCCGCAAGTATCACCTCATCTAAGAGATTATTGAAAGACTGGAGATAAAGATGGACTAGGTCCCCACTGATGATAATTTGGCCGATTCTGTGACGGAGGGTCTCTTTCAGAGAAAACATTATAGTCATTATGAGTCTTTAGGTTTGACACGTCGACCTGATTGGCTCTAGGCCATGTAGGAGTGTAACTCCCACGTAATTAGGTAAAATACGTAAAATACGATAAGGCATGAGAATGCATGTGAGAGAATTCGAATTACATGTAATATTCGTTTGGTCTTCGAATTATCTGGCTATTAGTAGGGAGTTAAATTTAAATTAGGGAATTAGTGGTATTATCATGGAAGGTGAGTACCTATTTTATGCATGTGAAATCCTAGTTATGAGTATAGGAATAATTTAATTATAATGTATAGAAAGTATAACACTATTTAGAATTTTATGTGTACTTATTAAAAGTATGTGATTAAATTTATTGCAAAACATAAACCCTTAGTTAATAATTAGAGGGTACATAAAAATTATAAGACATGGGTTAATTCCTAATAGGAGAACAATTGGACTTGTATAATTTGAACCCAATTTCAATTTAGGGTCAGCCCAAGAGCCCATGGTGGACCTTAGCTAACCCAAACCCTATCCATCCTTACATTTTATTCTTCATGCACATTGGTAGAAAATTACCATTTAATATTTAGTATTCTTAGCAAAATCAGCCAATGCATGTTTAGTAAGTGTCCAACAAAATCGTTTCCACCCTAGTGCATGCCCGACACCTAAGCTAAGGAAACACTTTGATTTTTATGCTATGCCTCGGCCTATTGCTTCCTTGGAGCAAGAAACCAAATCCCCCATATCTCAAGCTGATCTCTTCACACCTCCTGAACCGTAAAAGAAAAAAAAAATGATATATCCTTAGTTCCCTTCTTGTGCGCTGTTGAGAGCAACAAACTGACCCCATCCCTTCTCCTCCCTCCTTGCTTCGGTCTAGCATCTTCCAAGAAGGAGGTGAGACGCGCTTTCTGTTCCTTGCCCCTTGGAACCCCATTCGGTTGATCGAGATATACTTGCATGCAGAGTAAAGCCTAAGCTCACACTCATTCCTCTCTTGTTCTGTTCGGCCACGCATTCAGATTCAAGGAGATATGGTGTTTTCATTACACTTTCGTCTCACCATGCTCTTTCGGTTTCTAAAGAAATATGTCCTTGCATGTGGCTGAAGACCAAATCCTTGTAGAGTAGAGAAATCCCCCTGCATATTACTGAAACCGTGACCATTAGAGAGGAGAACGATGAGAGCTATAGCACAAACCTTGCTGACCACCTACTTAACCGACTTGTGAATCTTTGTCTTCTTGCAAAGAGGTAACATGACTTGAATCGAATCCTCTTATCCTCTTTGTTTTAGTTTTGTATGTATATATCTTCTAAGAAGTAATTTTCTGTTTTGTTATCATTCCTTAATTCTGGTCGGTTATACAACAATTGATAGTTGAATGCATGTTTAGAAGATGTAGTTTTATTCTGCCACTCTTTCCTCATTCTGCCGATCTGCATTGATATCGTAGGAAGTGAATTTTTGACATTTCTCTATCCTAGGGGTCCAACCGTACAACAGAGGGCATCTTAATGCATATATAAGCTTTGGAAATTAAATTGGTGAACTTGGAAGAATAGCTCTCCTAGTTGTTAGCCTGTTCGCTGAATTAGGAAGAGAACTAATAATCTTGCATATGTTTAATTTAGTGGACAGAACATTAAGAGGCTATTAATTCCACATAAGTCACATTGGTAGAAATATTCAAATGGAAAATTCTGGGGTATTGGGGGGGTGGTTATCTAAACCGAATCTGAAT